ATTGGTTATTAATGTATTCCACTTTCGGGTGATTCCTCCTCGCGGGGATTCTTTTCACCCCCTGACCACTTAAGGTCTGCCGCAGACTAGGGGCAGTTAAATTTTTGTTTTGTATAGGTTACTTTACTAGGAAAAATATAGTGCAGTAGTTTCCCGTTGCTTTCTGCACCGCAGTATCACAACCGGTTAAATCATAATTTGATTACCGCCCGTGATTATCCGGTATCAGACCGATACAGAGATCTTGTCTCTACCGCTCTGATCCTGTAATGACATAGCTGCTGCCCTATGCCATGCTCTCAGTTGATCCGCGGGTGTTTATTTGGCAAAGCCTTATTCGCACCTGTCCTACATATCTGTAGGACGTTCCCTATCAGCCATTGGGACGCGCCGTGTCGAGGTCGAGAGCTGCCTCCCTAACTCCACTACGTCAAAAATCTGTTTTGACTTTTAATTATTAAACCTGGTATAGGTGTAAACGAAAGAAGTTTGTCCTTTTGTATTAAAATGTCTCGCACTGTCGACTGAAGGTACATATGTTTACTGAAAGTACCGTTTTTAAATTAACTTGAGATCTAACTTTTGACTGATCGTAAACCCAACCATGTTCTGCTGAAGATGGGAAGGAATGCGAAGTCATAAAAACCATACAAACGAAAAAACTGGAATATCTGGGCCACATAATGATAGGAGAAAAGTACTCTCTGCTTAGACTCACAATCCAAGGAAAAATCCCGGGAAAGAGAAATGTGGGACGTAGGAGTATTTCCTGGTTGCGAAATTTAAGGGAGTGGTATGGGTGCAGTCCAATACAGTTCTTCAGAGCTGCAGCCAACAAAGTAAAGATTGCTGTGATGGTAGCCAACCTCCGATAGGAGACGGTACTGCAAGAAGAAGAGACCCAACCATTTTTCTTTTCTCGGACATATCAACTAAACAATAAATTGCAGTTTAAAATAAAACATTACCTTATAACACACGATCAAGTTTATACTACTCCAAACTCATTTTCGCTGGCTCTTGGACTATTATCAACACTAGCATTATGCAATTTGTCAAATCATTAGTAAAAGCCAATAGTTCGCAAGCTTTAAGGAAATTTTACAAAATAGAATGATTTAGAAACTTAAACTTAGAGAAATAAGTACTAATACTAACATTTTTAGCTTTAAAAAATTTTAACGTGAGGGTATAAACGTATCGAGAGAGATATATACTTTGTTGTTATTGATTTTGAAATTGCTTCAGAAAATGTGAATAAATTTATTTGTTTGAATCCTTGTATATGTTTAGATGCTTTATTATTATATCTAATGTTGCATGTGTTCTTTTTCTATCAACTATTTATATTTAAAGTACCTCTATTTATATTTAGAATATTTAGTGTAGTTTTGTGTATGTGTATTTTATTATCCTTACTATCTTGGGATATGTGGGCTACACGATTCTCTGCTGGGATCATACATGGGCGTTCTTTCGATTTTTGTATTCATATTATCATCATCATGTTCTTTGCCTTTATCCCTATGCGGGCCCGGCTTCCTTAATTACATTACTCCATAAGTGTCCATCTTGGGTCATATCTCATTTCCGTCACATGTATTCGTTGTTCCTCTTTTTTTTATCTATCTATCCTATGTCTCCAGTCCTTTCTGTTCTGCCATTCTTCATCTCTAGGGTCTCGTCTTTCCATGGCCTCGTCCACTTCATCCCTCCATGATCTTCGGGGTCTACCTCTTTTCCTATCTTTGCTATCCACCTTATATGATCTGTTCTTCTCACATGTCCATACCAAATTAAACGTTTTTCTTCGATGTAGCTGAGTATGTCTCGTTCTACTGCCACTCTTCGTTTTATCTCCTCATTTCTGATGCGATCTATTTTTGTCACTCTGCAGCTTCTTCTCATGAACTCCATTTTAGTTGCTGTGATTTTGGGCCTGTTTCGTTTATTTATTACCCAATTCTCTGCTCCATAGGTCATTATACCGCGTAATAAGGTGTTATAAATTCTCTTCTTTGTATTTCTGGTAATCTGTCTATCCCACAGTACCCCATTCATTTGTTTAATACATGTTCTTGTCTGTGCTAGCATGCTGGTTATCTCTTGCTCGATGGTTCCATTTTTTCTTCTTCTTCTTCTTCTTATTTTTTATAAGCAAAATGCTTGTTCAATGTCGATTAATGCCTCTATTGGAGGTTATCACTCCATCTTTTGCGTGGTCGCCCGATACTTCTTCTACCTCTTGGTGATTTGTCCCTCGCTATTCTGACCAATCGGGTTTCTTCCATTCTGTTTATGTGCTCGTTCCATTCCTTTTTTCTGTTCAGTGTCCACTCATTTATTTCTGGTATATTGCATTTTCTTCTGATCTCTTCACTCCTCATTCGATCCCTCAGTGTGTTTCCTGTAATTCTCCTCAGTAAACGCATTTCCGCTGTTTCTAGTAGTTGCTGAGTTTTGGAGGTATCCGGTCTTGTCTCTGAAGTGTATGTCATTATTGGTCTTATTGTTGCTTTGTAGATTCTTGATTTCACGTCGGTATTAATGTGGGGATTGCGCCATATCGTGTTATTTAGACAACCTGCTATTTTATTAGCCTTTGTACTTGATTTTTCACTTCCTTCTCCACATCTCCGTAGCTAGACAGTGTAATTCCTAGGTAATTTGTCTCCATTACTTGCTCAATGCTGATACCGTCGATTTCCAGTTTACATCTAATTGGTTCTTTACTGATTACAATTGTTTTAGTTTTCTGTGTAGAGATCACCATATTAAAGTCCTTTGCCCTTGTGTTGAATCTATGGGTTAGTCTTTGTAGATCGTCTTCATTGGATGCAATTAGGGCCGCATCATCTGCATAGCAGAGTATTCTGATTTCTTTGTTCCCCATTTTGTATCCTCTTCCTTTATTAATAGTATTGATGTTTTCATCCATGATTAGATTGAATAGCGTTGGACTAAGCGAGTCTCCTTGTTTTATTCCATTGCCCATATCTATTGGATCTGTAAGCTGGTCATCTATTCTGACTTCCATATTGTTGTTCTGGTAAATGTTCTCTATTATTTTTATAACATCTAGTGGAATTTCTCTATCGTAAAGAAGGTGAATTACATCTTTAAGCTTTACTTTATCGAACGCTTTCTTCAGGTCTATTAGACATATGAATGCTGGTCTGTTATACTCTAGTGCTTTCTCGGTAATCTGTTTTATGATTAATACTGCATCTGTGCACGATCTTCCTGTGCGAAAACCCTGCTGTTCATCCGCTAAGGTAATTCTCTGATTTATTTGGCCTTGCAATATTTTGGTTGTAAGCTTCAAAGTGGTGTTTAATAAGTTGATACCTCTGTAGTTTTCAGGTTGTTTTTTATCTCCTTTTTTGTATAGTAGGATAAGCTCGCTTTTCTTCCATTCTTCAGGTATTTTATTATGTTTGATGATTTTGTTAATTAGTGCTGTTAGCTGTTCTGTTAATGCTTCTCCACCATATTTCAATAATTCATTTGGAATTCCATCTTTACCTGCAGCTTTTCTGTTCTTCAGTTTTTCTAAAGTTTGTTTTACTTCTTGTACGGTTATCTCGACTTCCTCGTTTGTAATGATTTCTGGTATTTCTGGTTCTAACATCATTTGCTGTTCATCATTATAAAGCTTCTTTAGGTATTCAATCCATGTGTCGTTATCTATGTGTTTCGGTTCGATTAAGTCTTTCATCTCTGATCTTTGGCCGCTTATGAAACGCCATATTTCCTTTTGTAGACCGTAAAAGTCGTGTTCCATTTCTTTTAAGAAGCGTTCCCAGTGTTCGTTTTTAATTTTTCTTACTAGTGCTATTGTTTCGTTTCTTATCTTTTTGTAATTGTTGTATTCTTGTGGTGTTTTGTTAGACAAGTATATTAAGTAAGCTTTCTTTTTTTCTTTGCATTTTTCTTTCACTTCTGCGCATAACCACGGAGTTTTCCGCTTTTGGAAATATTTATTTTTAAGAATTTTCCTTTCTCCTACAGCTTCTTTTGCTGAATCTAGGATGCTTGTTTTAATTTTCGCCCAGCTTTCTTCGATTCCATCACTTTCTACGATGTGCACGTTGTCGAGTTTATCTTTGACTCTCTTTTGGTATAGAAGTTTTGTTGATTCGTTCTGCAGACTCTCGACTTTTACCTTTGTGGTGTATTCTTCTTTTTTATTTTTATTGTTACATATGCGTGTCGTCATTCTGATTTTTCCAAATATAAGCTTATGGTCGCTTCCTATTTCTGCAGATGTTAGTGCTCTTATGTCCAATACTTGAGAGGGATGTTTTTTGAGTTCAAGTTCAAGTTCCATTTTTTGAGAGTATGAATCCTAAATATTTGAATTTTTCAGTGCCGTTAATTTTCCTATTATCGTCCATTTCCAAGTTTCTCACTGGTTCTTGCTCTGTTGTTAAATATTCGGTCTTTTCTAGGTTTATTTCCAGTCCATTTTTTGTGTATTCCTTTTCTAATTTTCGGAGCACATAGCACAGATCTTCTTCATCTTGAGCCGTTACCACTTGGTCATCTGCCAAGCTTAATGTGTAACAGAAGTTGTCCCGGATTGATATTTCCATCCCTTCACATTTCCTTTTCCATGGTTTTAATATTTGTTCGAGGAATATCTGGAACAGTCTCGGAGATGTAGAGTATCCCTGCAATAAGTATTTTATGGCTTTAAATTCGTTGGAGTATTTATTGCCGGTTTTTTAACTGCCCAAAATTCAGTTCCGTATAGCTGGTCTTATGGTTGTTTTATAGAATTTTTCCTTCAGCTTTCAAAGTTCAGTTTCGAAATTAAACTTTTAGTTTAAAATAAGTTTAACTTATTTTAAACTCATTCCTATTAAAATAGTAATTAGCTTCAGATTTATATGTGATTCATGCTGGGTGTAATGGCCCCTTAAAAATGTCCCATGGACGTGTAGTCTATACGTACTAAATCATAATATAAGTATTCTCAAAGCATAATAACGTTACAGCTGGAGTCCAGTTAAAAAAGATTAAAAAAGCAGAACCCAAAGAACCTCAGGAAAATGGAGCGAAAGAAAGTTTCTTTCAGAAGCCGGCGCTGAAACCGGTTCCACAGAGGGAAAAATCTCCTCCTAAAAAGGATCACAAAATTCACAATCTTCCGACTCTACAAAAAGCTTCAGAAAGGGTGTTAAAGAGTCCTCCTAGGAAGCCGTCTTTAGCTAGAAGTGATACGTTAACGTCCGACGATGAAGTTGAAATTGACAAGGTGAGTCTTTGTTACGAAACATTGCAAAATATAAGATGATCAATTTTCGAAGATCATAAAAATGATAAAAATATATTACAAATACAAAGACATATTACAACTTTATATTTATTTGATTCTTTCTATATTTATTTACATATTTTAATTTTAATATATTTAATTAAAGAAAACTTTCAATAGCAAAACTGCTAAAATCAAATATGTTAAATTATATAACCTTTATTGTTTAGGTTACAGAACCTTTTAGAACCTCTTCACAGGTTAGTCGTTTGCTATACGGAGATTATGAACTGTTTTATGCATATGTGAGAAAAGATGCCTTGTTTACGAGGTTGCTACTAGTTTTTTACTTATATGTTAAGAGATGTTACTTTGTTGATAATTTTGCCCATGAGAAGATTAAACAAGAAGGGGCTTAAACTGTCGCCTTGTCTAATTCCTCCCGGTGTTGGAATATTTTCAGTGAATTCGTCTCCTGCTCTAACTTTGGTTACGTTGTTGTTATTTAGTTTATGGAGTATCTTTGTTATACTGGTCGGTGTTTCATTTTCTATTAATATATTTAGAATGTCTCCCAAGCGAACTCTGTCAAATGCCTTCGTCAAATCAATGAAGCAAATATACGCTGGCATGCCGAACTCTATAGCTTTTTCTTTTATTTGTTTTATTATAAATACTGCGTCTGTTATAGACCGCCCTTTTGTAAAACGTTGTTGTTCTTCAACATTAGTGATTTGCTTTTCCAATTTGTCCTTGAGAATATCCGTGAAAAGTTTCATTGTTGTATTTAAGAGGGTTATTCCTCTATAGTTTTGTGGGCAGGTTTTTTGTCCTTTTTTAAATATGGGGATTGTGATACTATTATGCCATTCCTCTGGTGTTTCTGTTTTGTTGAATATTTTGTTAAATAGTTGTGCCAGTTTACTTGCAAGTTCCGGGCCTCCATATTTTAAAAGTTCATTAGGTATACCATCCGTTCCCGGTGATTTTCTGTTTTTTTAGCTTTTTGATCTTTGCTTCTACTTCTTCGTCATTGATTGTAGCACTCACATCTGTTTCGCCTTCGTTTATGTTCAGCGTTTCTTCAGCATCATGTAGCTCTTTAAAATGCTGTTGCCATGTCTCTATAGGTACTCCTTTGGTCTGCACGAACTCGTTAACTGGTTTTTTCCTGTTGCGGAGCATTTTCCATACTTTCTTTTGGGCACCATATAGGTCGTAGTCCATTTCGCAAGTGAATTTGGCCCAATGTTCTCTTTTGATTGATTTTATTCTGGCGTTTACTTCGTTTCTTATTTGGACATATTCTGCATGAGCTTCTTCCGATTGCGTGCTTTTATATCTCAGGTAGCATTTGCATAGTTCTTTTACCTCTTGGAAAAACCACGGTTTGGTGTGGTTTGTCGCTCTCGTGTTAATTTTCCGCTTTCCAATCGCTTCTTCTGCTGCTTCGTTGATGCATTTCTTAATTTTTTGCCAAGTATCTTCTACTCCCCATTCGGGTTTTAAGTCGATCTCTTTTAGTTTGCTGGTAATCCTGTTCTCATAAAGCAGTTTTGTACTCTCTGTTGCTAGCGACTCTATATTATGTTTTTCGATGAACATTGGGGGTTTTCTGTTTCGTTGCGGACGTTCTAGTAGCATCTTGCATAAAACAAGGTTATAATCAGTCCCCAGGTTAGCAGATGTTAGTGCTCTGACATCAAGTACTTGTGACGGAGTTATCGCTCGATTTGTGATTATAAAATCTATCATTGATCGCTGGCCTCGATTATTGTTAAAAGTGTATTTATGTTGGTCTTTATGAAGAAAGTATGTATTGTTGATTCTCATTTCATTTCTAGCGCAAAAGTCTATTAGGGCTTCGCAGTTTTCATTAATTATTTCTTCGTTGTACTTTTGTTTTATACCTGGTATGACAATGTTTCCGATCCGTGCATTAAGATCCCCGAGTACGATAATTTTGTGTTTCGTATTTATGTTATCTACGACGTTTTGTAGTTGCTGATAGAAATTTTCAGTTTCTACTGTGGGCTTAGATATCTCTGGGGCATACGTGCTTATCAGGTGTGTTGTGATGTTACGCATTTTTATAGAGATTTTTAATAATCTATCGTTGATGTATTCGATATCTTCGATGTTTTGCGTGTATTTATCGTGCAGCAAAATTCCAACTCCTGAATACGCTCTTTCTTGTTTAGCTTTCCCGCTGTATATGAGTATAAATTCTCCGTATTTTGATGTTCCTTGGCCTTTTTTCTTTATTTCAGAGATTCCGCAGATGTCAATATTGTGTTTCTTCATTTCTATTATGATCTCCTGGTCTCTTCCGTTCCACGACGTAATGTTCCAGCACGCGATTCGTGTGATGGGGTCTTTAGGTTTTCGTTTACCAATTCGTTTTTCCATTGTCATAGCGTGTGTCGTCATCTGATATTTCCGTCCGGTATCCGAGGCTGAATCTTCAGTTCTGTGAGCCAATATGGGTTTCTTTACCCCAGGTAGGTGGCTAGCCTTGCCATGGGGACCCTCCTCCTTTATCCGGGCTTGGGACCGGCAGTGTCATCCGATGAGCTACTCAATCCACCCATCAGACAACCCAGGCGGAGTTCGATTAAACTTACGCTTTACTAAATCTGTTGTCTAATAGAGCGACCCGTCACAATAACAACTCGAAAAATAATTTTTTAGCTTTATTATTTTTTCTTTGCAATTTCCTTTACTATTTTAAGTAGAATATGAGTTAAGAAACTGCAATTAGTTAATTTTTCTCTTGCTAAAAATTCGTCTAATTTTATGCACTATCTTCATAACAACTTCGAAAATAATTTCCCGTCTGGCTTACTTTTCTCTTTGCAATTTCCTTGACCTTATTTAAGTGAATCACGATTGAAAATGAAATGATTTGCGTTGCAATTATCCAATCAATCACCTCTTGAGCATTTTCAGTTGCCAAAGTCTCTAAATTTAAACAAATCCACTCGATGGCAGTGTAGTGTGAGCGATCGCGTGGATCATTTTTTGTAAAATCAAGTTCTATTCTGAATCTGAACTAGCTGTACGAGTTATTAGTCTTTAAGGTAAGTCTCTAAGTTATTTAGTTATAAATAACATAAAAAATAATATAATAAATTTATTTCTAACAAAATTATTGTTGTACTAAAACGCAATGCAATAAACTTTCCATAAATTTGATCTGTTATAAGGTTTCATAATCATTTTCGATTATTGTTAGAACAGTTCCAATAAATTGTCTTTTACTACTGCACAGTGAACACACATTTCTGTATAGCATAGTAACAAAACGTTTTATTCCACTGTTCTCGTGAGAAGAGAAGATATCCTAGTCTAGGGGCAAAAGGGATTTCGTGACAGACTGAGGTCCATGATATTTTATAACTGATTTATAACTAATTTATAACTAACTTTAAAATATTAGAATCGGTGTACCAAAAGCCGAGATATTGCAAATTGATTTGTAAATAATATCAAATTATCGACTATATAAGACACTTTAGCTTATAATTTCGCTTCTGCTTAATGTAAAAAGGTTTAAAGCACTCCATTTTAAAACTATGATTATAAGCTTTAAAATTAATTTTGAACAAATATATTTTATCAATTTTTGACGAAGTTATATCAGTTTAAAGTATACAATTTAGGTGTAAAAAACAATCGAATTTGTTTATAAAGATTTTTCGGTGGTATAAGATCAAAAAATTTAGTATTATGTTACTGGGAACTATAGTACAATAAAAAACGAAGATTCTTCACTATCATTTTGATGCAGTTTTCGCTAAAATACAGTAATTTGAAATTGACCCAGCTGGTGCGCTTAACTCGCACTCGGCACGTCCGCTAGAGGGCAACTGTACTCGGACGCAGATCTGCTGCTACAACTGTAGTAAAAATGGTCGGATTCTGTGTGTACAGTCCATTGTACAGTCCTTTGTGCATTTTTGCATTGTTTAAAAAGAAAAGAAAAAATAGAACCAGCAATTTTCTGCTTACCACATGATCTCTCTTAGTAGGATACTTTATATTTGGAATTAAAATCTTTTACATACTTCAAAAATACTTTCCCTTGTACATTTTTTATATAAGTCACAACAGGAAGATACCTGAAAGCAAGTAAAATGAGAATTTTACGAAGAATAATAGAAACGACACGGATGGACAGATACAAAAGTGACAGTATCAGAAATGCGTATAGTATAGACAATATAAATGAATAGGTGCAATTTTGAAAAGAATAATGACATAGTTATATTAGCCGAATAATGACATTATTCCAATAGAATAAATGGTAATGTTAAAGAAAAATAGGTAATTTGCTTAAGTAAAGTAGAAAAAGAAGAAGAAGTAGGAGGAATCTTATTTTGTACTTGAGATGTTGGTGCGTATATTTGTATCAGATAGATGTTAATGATTGTCTGTTAAGTTTTATCAACGATATTTTATAATTTTTTGTGATAAGTACATATTTATAGCATATGTATGTAGTACCTAAAAATTGTAGGTATAACATCAAAATAACCTTACCTTTCGGTATGGGAAATATACCATATATTTATATTTTTCAACAACATGTATTTTTTTCAAACGAATTTACCTCCTGATATCTAAAATTTAAAAATTTTAATTTTGTCTTAATAATTTTTAATATACGTTACTTTACCTGAACAGTAGGCAACTTTATTATCATATTAGTGGAATAAGTGTTGTGGCAAGACAGCGAACATCTAGAACTCAAGATGATAAATAATAATTTAATTCATCAAAATGAATATGAATACACAATTAACTTTATATTTTCGGTGACAGTTATAAGGATATATTGATAATATATATTATAGAAATTATTGTTATCGATTTGATTTGTTACTAAAATCTCGATTAAATGAATGCCAAATTTGACCTTCAATATCTCGGCAACCAGTAAGCCGAATGTATCTTTTTGTTTTTTAAAAGAAGCGTCTTTTAATGTTCTTTAAGTGTATACATTTTGAAATTGATATGTTTAAAGCTCGTAAAGTTATTTAATTTGTTTATAAGCCTAAAAATTGTTTATAACTTTAAAAGAAATTTTAGGCTCTCCTAGTGAACCGATTTGAATTTTACAAAAAGCGTTTGAAAGTTTGAGACTTCTTTAATCTGTAAAAAAATTGCAACTATCTAAGGTCCTTACTTAGGGCCTACTATGAATTTGAAAATTTGCAATTTTTTTTCAGTCGGCTGGATTGCAAAATTATGCAAAACCTATCCGACCGATCATAACAAAATTTAGCACACGTTTTAAACATATTAAAAAGTTTTTCTAGGCGGAATATGGACTTGTAAGTCAAGTTTAGAAAGTCGAAAACATTTAAAGGATTAACTTCATTTTTTTGTACTTTTTTTTTCCAATTATTCCTATTTTTTCAACAAAAACCATTAAATTTTCAATTTCTAGCTAACAAAATATTGTGTAAGATTGAATAACGAAACTTTTAATTTCTTATAATTTTTTCTCTAGGATCACTATTTTCCGAATTATAAATGAAAATAAGAGCAAAAAAACGAGAAATTTTCAATTGTTTTCAGATTTTGTTAAATAAAAAAATTAGCACAGGGTTTGCGACTGGCGCATATCGTGATTATCGATACTGGACGTAACCTGAAGTGATTCCAGCAAAAAAATAGCTTCTTATGGAAAATGTCCAATCCAAAACAAATCCCGCCTAGACTATATCTATACTTTCTATCCATAGTTGTAATACTTTATTAAGAATTTATTCTTTCAATTTTTATTTCAATATTTAATTACGATTTATTTAAAAATTCATTATAAACTGTATGTACATAAAATCTTTGTACATATATGTATGTTTATATACAATTTTTCCGTTTCAGGAAGTACCCACGAAACGAAATGCTCTCGTAAGGGAGGCGTCTATGAGAAGACTCTCACAGTCTAATATACCACCACCACCTCCACCACCAGGAATGCCTCCTCCTCCTCCGGCCATGCCGGGTGCAATGCCCAAAAAACCACTGACTGATAAGCAAATTGCAAGATTAAGTAAATTAAAGTAAGTAGATTTTTTGTAATTTAATTTGTTAGGGAGTGTAATCTAGATAAGTGTCATGTCAATTTTCGAGAACATCAAATCCGGGCTACATATCTCACAGAACATCTCCCCGCATATAGGCTACAATTACGTCACTACAACAGTACAGAGAACATAATGTGTAAGATTTTGTTATTCTTTCATCAAGCAACAATCGCCAATCAACAGCATAGTGAACCAAATAAGAGCAAAAATTGAAACCCTTAGACAGGTCTTTTAATTAGAAATGGTAAAACTGTAGAAAAATGGTCTTCCAAATGCAAATGACTTTGCTAAACACAAACACAAAGCTTACCAAGAACTAAAAGAACCTATTAAATATAAAAAAAATAATATCTTTTAATAAATGCTTGGTATACTTGACAAATACAACAAAAAGCTGTAATTGTTAAAATGAGCAAATTGCTGCAATTCGTAAAAGTATTTCTAGTCTCTAGATATACCTACCCAAGTTACTCCATTATTTGATTTTCTACATATATTATCGTGCAATATTATGATTATCGTTTGATTAATTAATTCATTGGTTCTTTGGACTCTTCAAATATCATCTTGTTCCTTTACCAAACCATATATCTTTCTCATTATCTAACTTTTTTCTTACGTATCTTTTTTTTTCAGTATCTTACTTTCTTAGATTTTCAGTTGTCACCAATATTTTGATTAGTATAGTAGGCATGATTTGAACTAGAAGTGGTTTAGTTTCGTTACTTATGGGGTTCTACATACCGGTTTTTAAGCGTATTCGATTATCCAGTAGGGATGAATGGAGTGAGTTATAACGAGATGCAAGCCTCCATCTCTTGCCGGATTGCTCATCTATAGATCGATCCTGATTAGCAAATACATTTAGAATTTTACACTACTACGTTAATCTTTTTGCTTTCTGGTCAGGGTCTGAAATATCGATCACTAGTTACTAGATCATTCACAGTGTAGTGAGATTCACACTTATGATTCACAGTGAGTTTTACTTATTGGTATTTATTTGGCACACTACATGGACTTTAAGGATTACCATATTCTTCTGCGTTTTATTTTCAGGAACGTTTTCAAAAAATGGTTCGTAAGGATTATTACTCTGTAGTTTTCACACTTCTTTGCGTTTGACTTTTTAGGTATCCTTACGAAGGCATTGGATTCACTTAAGACGCGCAGGTCCCCGGACTGGACCAGATACCTCATGAGGCCACAAACCTGGACACAAACCTTTCTTGAAACTTGGAGGACATATATGGGCGGTCCTGCTGTTGTTCGATATTTGGAATGCATTTAATGCGCTGTAGTGGAACGAGATAATGGAGAAGAGAGAATGTCCTGGTTATCTGATAAATGTGGTGGCGGAGTATCTGTCCGATAGAAGGATTATGGTGGAAAAGGGCATGATAGTGGACGTGACGGCCGGAGTCCCCCAGGGATCTGTCTTGGGCCTGACGCATGAATATGGAGAGGGTACAACCCCCTTCGCATTCGTGAATGACCTCGCTGTACTGGTAGTTACCCGGGATGAGCCAGATCTCAAACACCATCAGGTATCATTATATACCAGATACCAAATACTAGAAGCCGCCTCACTTAAGGGGAAAAGGAACAGGAAAAATGTTGAATTAAAATGTACGGGAGCATGTCTAACACCCAAGAAACACGTAAAGTACCTAGGAGTGACATTGCACTAGAATTGAAAATGGGGGAGCACTTGTGGGGGGTGGCCCGGAAGGCTGCGAATAGTGTGGCTGTGTTGGGGAGGGTGATGCCCAATATTGGGGCACCCAATTTCGAAAGGAGGAGGGTCTTACACGTTTTTGTATAGTCCTCTACGCGGCACCAGTCTGGAACGGCGCGGTAGAGATAACGGCCTTTAGGAAGCTCATGACACGTGGACAGAACAATTCCGTTGCGAGTAGTACGCGCCTACAGGACTGTGTCTGCAGCAGCCTTGTGGATCGTCACTGGATGTATTTCGTTGCATGTCTTAGCGGAAGAAAGAAAAGAGCTCTATGACAGAAGAGTCCCAAACCTTACTGCAGTAGCGCACCTAGAATTTTCCTGTGGGGAGGTTTTGATTGGGCACCGAAATTTTTTTATGCTTTTTATGTCCATTTTGAGGCCTTACAATTTGTCAGTAACAGTGTCGGAATAGTGCCTGGGGGAGAGGGAGTTTAACCTTCAAAACCGCCCCTGGGTGCGCCACTGCCTTACTATGGCCGCGAGAGAAGACAGGAAAGGGAAAGGTCAATTGAAAGATGGCAAGAAGAATGGAACAACACGGAGGATGTGGCACAGTGTACGAAAATACTAATTGGATTCAGATGGATAGAAGAAGAAAACAGAATGGAAGGAGACAGGTATACATTTTGTTACAGTGAGGGAAATGATTGAGATAATGATAACGCATATACTACGCAGAATAATGAGCGCAATTTGTGAGAATGCTATTTGGAGAAGGCGAAGTAATTTTGAATTTTACGAGAAGTATAAAGAAATAGTTAATGGTAGGGATGTAATATTTTTTTATAAAAATAGGTAGGCTTAGATGAGCTAAACATGTGTCAAGAGCAAATGAAAATACCCACCCAGACGATCCCTATTAGCGACACGAGTAGGAACCACGACCAAGGGTAGACCAAGACTGAGAGGGATGGAGGGATAGAGTGGACGAGGACGCGTGGAAAATCGGCGCAGCCCACTAACAACTGTTAGCGATGAACAGGAACGACTGACGAAATAGATTGGGCAAGATCGAAGCTCAATTAGGACTGTAGCACACTGATGATAATGATGATAATTGCTTTTCTTTATTTCTTTCCCAATTTACTGATCCCTTACACTGTTCTTTCCTTTGACTAGTGTTTCTTTACTAATATGTGTATAGGTATCTTATGCTATTTGATTATATATACCTAAGCACATTCTAATTTTCAGGGCTAGACCTAAACATAGGCCAGACTGGAACAACTTGCTAGCTGAAATCGAGTCTAAAAAAGCGTTAAAACATGTAGTTTGTAATGACAGATCTAGTCCTCTTTTACCAGAAGCAAAGACAGCTGATGAACACATGATATATAAAAGCGAAGAGCCTAACGTCCATAATGAATTGCTTAAACAGGTGAGAAATTACTATTTACCATATTTATTAAACAGGTACTTACATAAACTTTCTATTAATATAGAAGTGTCAATTTCGATTTATTTTTAAACGTTTTTTGGACACTACAACGGACGTTGTACTTTGGACACTACAATGATATTATTAGTCGTCTACGAGAATGTATTACACGGTTGTAGATTTCTATTAAGATAGTGGCGCCATCGAACAATTATTCTAAGTACTTCTTGGACTGCCTAAATAAATTGCCGTTCTAGATAACGTAAAAGGTATTTTCAATAATACCTTTTACGTTATCTAGAACGGCAATAAGAAGATAATAATTCTTCTATATCTCTACCAGTGGCACTCATATTTAATTTATAGTGTGACTGTTTTTTGTGTATTGAATTTTCAGTTTTTAAATATGTTTTAGATTGAAAAAGGTATATGCCTCAAGAAGGTTAAAACTAACGATAGGAGTAAACCTGTTCTTGACGGTTTGAGGAAGTTTAGAAGACAAATGACAATAGAAGAACAGATTCAGAAGTCAATGTCAATGGCTAGTATAACTCCAGTAAGTTATATAAATATTTATTTTTAAAAATATAAATTAAAGGGTATATTAATGACAATTACTGTTACAGGAAGAAATTGCGACAGACGAAATAGATGAAATGGACGACATAGACAAAGTCCGAGATGATCTTCAGAGTACCAAACAAATGTTGGCTTTAGAACTGAGAAATAAGGAAGCCCAAGAGAGAGAAAATAAGAGATTACTGGCTAGGATCCAAAACCTTCAAGCTGAGCTGGAGAAAGAGAAAAGCGTTAACAAGGACGGTGGTAACACTGCTGCTCATAGCGCTGCAGACGAAAAGGTAAATCTATTATTACCTATATAAAATAATAAGCATTCCCATGTTTATGAAAACTAATGAAGGTTATTCATCTTTACAAAATCAGAACTTACAAAAACCAACAAAATAAATACCTACAAATGACTTTCGTGATGAAGTCTATAAATGAATGATATTTTATAGGTAATTATTGGGTTGAAAAAAGAAGCTGAACAGGCAAGAAAAACTTCTCAAGATCTGGAAAAGAAATATACGACTGCTGCGGAGGAACTAGATGCCACTAAAGCAAAAATGGAAGAACTGAGACGTCAGAATCAAGCTCTTGAGAAAAGAGTACAGGAAGCGATGATGGGTAAGTTTTATATTCTTATAAATGTAAATTAACACATATTTATCAAGGAAAACATCTTTAGAAGTATTTTATTGTATATGATTGTAGAAATAGGAAAACCATTTTTTTATTGATAAGAAATGTTAAAAAACTTCACAATGTAAAATTGTGAAATTTTAAGATAGAATACATACATAATGATGAACAAGAGATTCCGTAATGGATGCCTATCAGTTAAAAGTTACCCCGGTGCTGACGTATCATCAGATCATGTTCCTGATGTTGGTAAATTTAGGTTTAGATTTAAAAAGGTTACAAAAAAGGATAGCAATAAAAAATGTTATATCAGAAGACTAAAAGATAAGGAAACAAAAGAGACAGTTACACGGATTGTTCCAGAAAAGCTATATAATATGGTGCAAACATATGATCCAGAAGAATCAGTCCCGAATATATCTGAAATCTTTAACAAGTTTAAAAAGGAACATCTAATAAAAAATAAAGAGATTGGGGAAAAAGTTATATGAATGACAATATACAGCAACTCATGGAAAAAAGAAGAAGCTCAAAGAATAACAAAAGAATGTACAAAAATATTGTATACAGAAGATATACAAGACAAATAAGAACCGAAATATGAAAAGCCAAAGAAAATTGGTTAAAAAGACAGTTCGACTTTTAAATCCTTATTAGATTAGCTCAAACAAAAAAGTATGAGAAAGATTTCTGCATGATAAATACCGCATTTACAGTAGAGTAGACAGACATTCTTCAAAACTATTATTTTAAATATACTAGACAGAAACAAAAAGTGGAGCAATTAGATAAGTAGATTAAGGAAGATGACTTATTTTGCTTCTTCCTTCTTGTATGTAGGCTTTAAAGCCTGTTTCTTCTTCAATATTAGTCTTCTAAATTGTTTAAATTGTTGCACCATCTTTTTCTTGGTCTGCCAATACTTCTTCGTCCATTTGGTGACTTATCTTGTGCTATTCGTACTATTCTATCCTCTGCCATTCTACTAATATGTTCGTTCCACTCCTGTTTCCGTTTTGCCACCCATCCATTTATGTCTTCTATATTGCATAGTCTTCTTATGTTCTCCCTACTCTCCCTATTCAACAGACTTTTCCCTGATATTCGTCGGAGTATTTTAATCTCTGTTGTTTCAGGTAGTCGTCTTGTATTAGATGTATCAGGTGTTGTCTCCGCTGTGTATGTTAATATAGGTCTAACTGCTGTTTTATAGATTCTTGTTTTTGTGTCTTGTCTTCTTCTTCAACATTTCCTTAACTAGTTATATCTATTCCCAGATATCTAAACCTTGCTTCCTACTTTATTATTTTCCCATCAATTTCGATATTACACCGTAGTGGGTATTTAGATGTTGCCATACATTTGGTTTTTTCTGCCGATATTCTATCTAATCTAATCAACCTTAAACGCCCATTCTTGGGCATAGGCCTCCCCTGTTAATCTCCATTGGTCTCTATTTTGGGCGATCTGCATCCAGTCCTTTCCTGCCGTTCTCTTAAGATCGTCAGTCCATCTCATCTGTGGTCTTCCTCTTTTTCTTTTCTTTTCTCATGGTTTCCAGTGTAGAATTCGCTTATTTCATCTTTTATCTTTTTACCGGAGAGTGTGACCGGCGAAGTTCCATGTAAGTTTTGCAACCTGTCTTGATACATCGTTCACCTTTGTTTTCTCTCTGATCCATGAGTTTCTTTTCCTGTCTTTAAGACTGATACTCAGCAACTGTCTTTCCATTGCTCTTTGTGTTTTGGATATCCTGTCGATGTTCTCCTTTGTGAAAGTTCATGTTTGTGAGCCATATGTTATAACTGGTAAAATGCACTGGTTGAATACTTTCGTTCGCATATATTGAGGGAACTTTTTATTTTTTAGAATATATGATAGTTTACCAAATGGGGCATATGCTACTCTAGTTCTTCTTTTTATTTTTATTTCTATTGTTTGATTGCCCCTGTTCAGCTTTATTATCTATCCTAGGTATATGTATTCTGCCACCTGCTCTAATTTATTCTGTTTGACTACTATTTCTAATTTGTCTTCTTGGTTTGTCATAGTCTTGGTTTTACTATAGTTCATCTCTAGACCTACCTATGTCGTTTTTCTATCTAGTTCCTCAACCATCTTCTGTAACGCTTCCTTCTTATCTGTTATCAGAACTATATCGTCTGCATATCTCAAGTGGTTCAAGAGCTCTCCATTTATTCTTATTCCGTATGTATCCCATTCTAATTTTTTAAATATGTCTTCCATAGCCTGATTGAACAATTTTGGCTATATTGTGTCTCCCTGCCTGATTCCTCTTTCGAATTTTATTGGCTCTGTAGCCTGTTCGTTCGTCAATTTTATTGTGGTACTCGCATTTTTGTATATGTTTGTTATTAGGTCCGTGTACCTCTAATCAATCCTGCCATTCTGTAGTGAGTTTTTGATGGCCCAATGTTCTATGCTGTCAAACGCCTTTCGGAAGTCTATGAATGCCATGTATAATGGGATTTGATGCTCGTTCGACTTTTCAATCAGTATTTTTACTGTTAGCAGATGGTCGCTAGTACTAAAACCCTTTCTGAATCCCGCTTGTTCTCTTGCTTGGTATTCGTCAAGCTTAGTTGTTAGTCTATTGGTCATGATCTTCGTTAGTAGTTTAAATACAACACTTAGTAATGTTATAGGTCTATAGTTTTCTAAGTTCTTTCGGTCACCTTTTTTGAACATTAATAGTGTCTCCGCATCGTTCCAGCTATCGGGTATTTCTTTTGTGGTCAATATTTTGTTCATGAGGATATGTAGGACTTCTCTAGTTGTTTTCTCTCCTCTCTTCAGCATCTCTGCAGTTATTCCATCTTTTCCAGGTGACTTATGGTTTTTTAATTCTTGAATTGCTTTCTTGATTTCTGTTTTACTTATTTCTGGTTGTAGGTCAGAGTTTATATTCTTTATTTTTGTGTTTAATTGTTTAAGAATTTCTTGCTGTGGTCTTGTCTGTGGTTCTTGCTGTGGTCTGTGGTTATGTCTTGTTCTGTATAGGTGCGTATAGTATTCTTGTGCCAACTTTATTATTTGTTTCATATCATTAATGGTTGTTCCTTTGCTGTTTGTCATTTCATTTATCTGAGTTTTACCGAGTCGTTGTTTTAAGCATTTCATATTTTTGTTCTGCTGGATTACTCTTTCAATCTTTGCTTCCTGCGTTTTTCACTTGGTTTCTTTTATGTTTTTTCTAATTGTTTTATTGATTTCAGGTATATTCTACTGTGTTTCTTTTGCCCTGTTCAAGTAGGCTTCTTTTTGTCTTCATCAGGTTTTCTACTTCTTCTGAGATATAATTGTCCATTTTTGTCGTCGATTTTGCAATTCTTTCCCCGGCCTGTAGCAATGTAGTTGTTAGTATTTCATTTATTTCATTTGTTTCTTTATTTATTAAGTCGGTTGTATTTGGGATGAATTTTTTTATTTCTTCTTTGTACTTTTCTTCGTTTTGGCTAAGTTTCTCCATATCTAGTTTTTGTACGTTTTTGATTTTCTTTCTGGTTTCAAATTGGCTGTTAATTTGTATCTTAGCCTTCACCATTCGGTGATCGCTGCCTGTTGTGAAACGGTTTAGCGCTGTGACATCCTTGACTACGTATTTTTGTGTTGATAATATGTAGTCGATCTCGTTCTTAGATTTGGTGTCAGGGCTTATCCAGGTCTATTTTCTCTGTGGCTTCTTGTTGAAAAAGAAGTTCATGGCGTAGAGTTTCCTTTCCTTCATGTAGTTCATCAGGGTTGTCCCTCTTTCGTTTCGTACACCATATCCATATTTTCCTAATTTTGTTTCTTCATTATTTAGTCTTGTCCTAGCTTGGAGTTGAAATCTCCCATCACAATTGTTAATCAGGTCTTTTCTTCATCCAATGCTTTTGATATTTCTTCATAGAATGCCGATATTATTATATTGTATTTCTTGGCTGTTGTATTGAATATGTGTGTTAATTTTTGGAGCTAGTCTTCTGTCTCGGCGATTAATGCGGCGTCGTCTGCATAACATAATATTTGGATTTCTTTGTTGCCCATTCTGTAGCCATGACCTTTACGTACTGCTTGTCTTATTTGAAGCTGACACTAGTAAAAATACTACGAGGTAAACTCAAACGGCCGAAGAAGCATAGAAAGGCCAAGATAAAGATGGCAAGATCTGACCTGACATCCAAAAAGAAGGCATGTAAATATGAAATAGCTACAAGCCCATAAAGGAAGTAGAAAGAATAGAAAGGATAAACGATAGTTAACTAATCATTGCCAAAGTGCCAAAATAATCTTAACTGTAGTCTTATTTCATTAATTTTAATAGAAAATAATAATGCGTTAGGATCGGTAATATCTTTATATATTCGAGTTAACATTTTGGGCTTTTCAACTTGTGAATATTATTTTTTATGTCAATTTTTATTTACAATGCTATTATTAATAATTAGGAGTAAAGAAATCAAGTTCTTCCGGCGGTTTCTGGTTTGAATCTGATGATGAATATGAATATAGGAACGCAGGCGAGTAAGATATCTTTATATGTACTTAATGGCGTCGTCCCTGTAACTGATAATATGTCCATCGCAATTTGGTACTTGCCCATTTGTTATTAATATGTCTATTTTGTTATTCTAATGAGAAAAACCATTTAATATATACTTTTAACTGCTATTTTATGTTTGTATATATATCATATGTAATCATAACTGTATCATCTGCCTATCGGCCCAAATATTTTATTGAAAATGAGTAAGATAAACCAGTTTCTTATAGGGAAAGTAACGATGGTTTCTTATGCTTTCATTTTATTTATTTAAAATAATAAAACTAACACTGACTTTTCAGCGAATGAAAAATAGAATAATCCTTTTATTATTCAATATTCTTTTTCTGTATTGACATCTTTGCTTATTTATCTTTCGATTCATTCATTCATTCATTCGTTCATAGAAATATACAAAATATAGGGAAGGTTTAATCTTACGTATACTTAGTACAAAAATCGAATTCTCAAAGCAGAACCTAAAGACCGATTCGAATCTTTCTTAGACTAGACAGCATTTGGACGACTACAAACAGTCTTTAAATCTAACTTTATACATACATCGGTTTATAACGTCTTTCGACGTTGTCCGATACCTAAACACCATCTCTTCCTATCTTCGCAGTCGTTTGTTGTTAAATTTCTTTCGCTCATAGACTTGTTTACGCCGTGTTGTCATTCTAATCTGGGTCTTACTCTGTTTCGTCGACCTATCGATTGCCATTCTACTACTTTTTTGGAGAGTCTTGTTGCTGGCATCCGTTGAACATGCCCATACCACCTTAATTGTTTCTTCTCTATATCTTGAGTTATATTTCCTTCTATTCCCATACGTTGTTTTATTACATCATTTCTGATTCGGTCTCGTCTGGAAATACCTAAAGATCTTCTCATTGCATCTCTACTGCATCTCTACTGCTTCTATTCGCTTTTTGTTCTTTTCACTAATTCTCCATGTTTCAGCGCAATAAAGAATAGTAGTTTTAATCATGGTCTCATATATGAGAATGTTTTTGTTTACACCGATTCTATTAGTCTAAAGGCCAATTGGGTCACCGTAGCCTTTAAAATTCTGATGGGTCCACCCATATTATCAAATTATTGGATTAAAGCATTGATTATAAACCACTACCTTATATATACTTAAAGAAAGATATAGTATTATTAATTTGTTCCATCGTTTCTTTCAAAACATCCCGCTTAAACACATTTATGCGTTACACAGGCCATTTTATCTAAAATGTGAGTCCTTTTTTTTCATAAAATTTCGCTATAACTTGTCACAACACTAGACACAGATAATACACTTATAGGGTAAGTTCGGCCCTGACACCACTCCTATCTCTTCGCAAGTTAGAGAGAGAATGAGAATCTCGATACGGTTTTCGAGTAACGCCATCTAGTTTTTGATACGTCTTTCGGTTACCACGAGGTGAGCTTATAGGTAGTGGTTTATAATCAATGATTAAAGTTTAGCAAACGCCATTTTCTTTGTTTTTTTTATGGGACAAATTTGACTAAAAACATTTTTTAGCTCTTATAGTTTACGAGCTAGAACCTTATAAACAATTAAAATTTTTATAAAAAATTTTTGAATACTTCGAAATTCACCCTCAAAATTTTGAATCAGCAGCTAAAAATACATAAAAAAACTTGGGTGGACCCATCATAATTTAAAAGGTCACGGTGACCCTTAGCTGGCCCTTTGGCTATATTTTTCTACTCTAATATATTAGGTTTCGTATAAAATAATTAAATACTTATACGGCATATTTTATTAACAATGTTTTGCTAAAGTTTTTATTAAAGTAATTTATTTTATATCAGTTAACTCTGGGACTAATTTGATTAGTTATAGATGATTTGTTTATTTAAAAAATAAGAGTATATTAAAGTGTTCTTTCTCATTAGAACCTACAAAAGTAACAAAAACAGTGTTTGTATAAAAACCGCTCAGTTGATCGTTGTCTGATATTTATTTCACGATATTTTTAAAACCTTTATATGTAATTCAGGTGTCATTTCCCCCCTGAAGTTTCACCCTGTTTTTATATGATATATAAATATCTTTTCAGGCTTAAAATTACTTTAGAAAAAACTACTGTTTTGGACTAAGGGCTACTAATTAATTTAAAAAGAGCTCATTTTAATAACTAGATTCTCTTTTGGCAAATAAGAACTTAATATCATAGAATAAATCGACCGAAGGATCACTCTAGCAAATGCGAATACACGAATCCCTTTCGGCTCTTTAAAAGCTTGTCTTAGTTCATACTACAATATTTTTCAATCTAGTTGGAGCTCATTGGAAGCGGCAGGTCCTCGGAGAGAGAAAGGCAATATGCTTAGCTAAGCTTTCTACTTAAATGTGTGATTTCCTAGAAGACTTCTTCAGCGGAAACTGAACGCAGCCGACTTCAGTTCAGATTCGGTGCAAATAAATTTGTGGTGGTAATTTCTAAAAAATTACCACCACAAATTAAGCTCTGTTGCAGTGGGTGTCGGAAAATTCTACTGACTTTTTGGTTTTTGCTGTCGGTCACAAATAAATTTCGTCGGAAACCAAAAGAATATTCAGTAGTAAAAATCACCACAAACAGTCCTCTGGTTTGCCTAAAATTCAATAAAAATGAGTCAAAACTGTTCATAACAGAAAATGGAATACCGGATTATACGAACTTTTTTTACTTTACCAAAAATCTCGTCTAGAATTATCTACAAAATCGTTCTGTTAAAAATATCGTTTGAAAGAGGTTTAAATCCCACAAACACGTTTTTGGGCTTAGGAGTCCATAGATTTTAAATAACACAGTAATAACGCTAATGATGCTAAAAGAAGCACAGATAATTGCACAAATTACCGACCAGTAGTCGGAAGCTTTTAATGAAGGTGTCTTATATATTCTTTTTTCTCTAGTTTTCTTAAATACTTAAATTCAAAACCTTTCCAGTTTGCAGTAAATGATACTCCTAATTTTATAAAAGTCAAAAATTATTGAAAAGCGCAAATAAACACATTATGCTGTAAAATTTTAATATAATCAGTATAAATTATTATAATTATATTAACTTATAAATAATTTATTACAACGAAGACATCGATGCCATAAAATATTTGTCTAAATTAATGAATTCTTTTAAGGCAAATGAAAACATATTTTATAAACTAGAACTTTGAATATATTATTTTTAATATTATTAAAATAATTAAATTACAAAATAACAAAATAAAAAAATATTAATGTTATTCAGCATATACTTATTATTATAATCATAAATATAATATTCTATCCTTACAATGTAAAGTGATAAAAAACAAACATATTTTCTTAGATGCCGCTAATGGCTGAATTCACTATTTCGATTAAACCATATTTATCCGGTAATTCTAATAATAAGAAAAATATTTTCAAAAACGTGTTTTTGGCAATAAATTAGTGTAATGAAAAAGGAAAAAACATTGAAAATTTATTATTTTTTTCTAAAAAAACATCTGGAGCGTTTATCACCACTGCAAGACATAAGTTAGGGATGTAGTTGAATATTAAATAAATAATAATACAGCAATTATACAACTGCATAAATCAATTAAGTCACTTATATACCTCAACAATTAATACTAGTTTTTTTTTGTTCAAAGAAATATATAATTAAATTAATTAAATTTATAAGTTGTTTATAGGAAACGAAGCTGAAAAATCGAAAAATTACTGGGCGCTGTTTTTTGTCTGGGTCTGGAATATCTAGGGGAAGTTAATAGAAAAGGCGTATTATCTCGTGATTATCGAAACTTTTACTGCGTCATGACAATTAAGCAAAAAAAAGCGACTCTTTTCATTTATTTCCAGAAAAAAGTAATTTCAATATTGCAAATTAAACCCGAAATAAGCACGTTTTTCAATTGTTTATATTTATTAAAATAAACAATAACAACATTTCATAATGTAAGTTTTTATGTAGTTGCTACATTTGTAAAAGATGAACACAAGCGATCAAGTAGTTTTTAAAAAATTCTATTAGTTTATTCCATTTGAAGGATAAATTAAATCAGGCAATAGCAGATATCACCGCAAGATCTAAACAACCGGTCAGTATACAAGACAAATAGAATTGTATTAAAAAAGCTATCGTAACCACCACCAAGTCTTTGATCGCTTCCCAAAAGTACAAAACGAAGAATTGGATGACTGACGAATATTTGACTGACCGCAGATCATTTAAAAACAAAGACCGGAGCAAACATCAGCAGATTAACCGACAAATACGAAAAGAGTGTCGCAAAGCTAAAGAACAGTGGCTGATAAACAGGTGTGCTGTTTGGAATGAATGAAATGAAGGAATTGGAAGAAAAACATGACCACTTTAACATACATAAACTCGTTAAAGAAGTGGCAGGTCATACAAAGCCCTGCAGTTTTAACAGTATTGTGAAGTACAATAAATTAATTACTGCTTCCAAGGATCTACTTCAACATAGGAGAAACTACACACAGCAACTATACTCAAACAGCACTAGAAGAAACTCCGATAGTGAATATAAAAGTAAACCTTCCCCAAAATATTGGGTCCGGTTAAATACCACAGGATTAGCTTCAATCAACCTTTATACCAATCCAGAAAAAACCAAACGCTAACACTTGCGACCAATTCCGAATGATCAGCTTACTAAGCCAGGTCTTAAAACTCTTCTTAAAGATAATCCGCACAAGAATATACAACAGATGTGAAAGAGACATTAGCCCCACACAGTTCGGTTTCAAACAAGGAATTGGCACAAGAGAAGCACTTTATAGCTTAGCTGTCCTACTTCAGAAATGGATCAGCAAAAATATGGCTTCCTATGCTTTATAGATTAATACAAAGCGTTCGATTGTGTTAATCATTCAGAATTAGTAAGATTGCTCCAGGAATGCTCGATAGATGAGAATGACTTTAAAATCATAAAGAACCTTTACATGAATGCCACACAAAAATGGC